CACACCCCAACCCCCCCTGGAGGCTCCAGTTGTGCTCTCTGCCGATCTGATGCTCTGGAAACACGCGAGTACCTCTTCTGGCTCTGTAGCTTCAGCTCTAACTGTTGGCATACTCTTGATATTCACTTTGATCTTCCCTGCCATCCATGTAGGAAATGGTCTCCCAGGTGAAGTACAAGATCAACAAGCCTTTCTTCTTTGAAGTCCTGGCAGTTGTGGCATAGAATATTTGGAAGCAAAGAGCCGCAAGAAGTCTTTGACAACATTACTCATAGTAGGGGCTCTTGGTTGTTTAATTTCAAGAGGGATCGTTGCCATCTTTCTCACAGAACGAAGGAGGAGCTTGCCACCTCTCTCAGGTCTTCGCTGGGCCATCTAAAGGCTAATTCTGTGCCAAGCCTGTCTATGTGTGTTCTTCTGAATAGCCCCCTCCCCTCACCCCCTTCCAGCCTTGTACATATCCTCTCTTGTATATATTATTCTTATTAGCTTTACTGTCGGGGCCTCCCCTACAATTTCCCCTTTTTTAAAGGTATACTACAGTAATCGCCTCGCCATGACTCACTATCACCAGCCCCACACCCATTACAAAATATATACAATCAGTTATATACAAGGATCAAGATCACGCGAGCAAACATCAATATTCGCAGCAGGAAGAGTCAATAAGATTCCTTCTTATTCGGTTGTTTTTGCTATGTCTATTAACATAGAACCCACTTACCCACGACAAGTTCAATTTACAGGAGATAAAGAAGTAGGCTAAACATGGATACACTATTGTGAATGCCAGAAAGATAAGATTTTACACTTTGACGCAAGGCAATTCAGAAATTTCAGAAACGTGAAGTCACCAGTTTTAGAAGGAAATGGCATTTCGTTGTACTGAAAAAAAAAATGCAAAACAGTATGTGCATACCACACTTTCAGGAACTCCTGGAGGGGGTAATGAAAGATTTCTCGGTGGTGGTGAGCGAAGATAAGATCTCTTATCAAAACGCCATTCCCCGATCTTACCATAAGTCAGCTCACCCTACATTTTTACAAGATAATCATAAACAAGCTATCATGAGAAGCTTATAAAGTTACAATTTTGTTGCAGTAATAGAGAAATACTACCTCTGAACTGCAAAAACGTCTTTTATTTAGTTATGAAAGTAGTAGATTTTACAGAACAATGGCAGGCATCTTCAAGATGTTGACAGATGTTTAAGGTTAAACAGCAGTCACCTTTAATGAATAGTCACATCCGTAAGTATAATGGATGATGAATGTGTTGTCTGATTTCGCGTCCCATGGAGGCTGCAATGAGAATTAATCACATATTTGATGATATGAGCTGCCACAAACAAACAACGGAATAATCTATCAAGTGGCAGAATTACTATGCACCTGAATCATGAAATCTTTTTGGAGGCTGTGGTGCACACCATGCAATGCACTTGCAACAGCATATGCATACCTATAAATATGATAGAAAGGAGCTCCAAATAAGTCTCGCGCATGTTAAGTCAATAGGTAAAAGTATATAGAACTGTACTGACATTTCCAAGACCCATCCAAAAGCTTTGTCTGTCTCCACATCCTCTTTCATTTTTAGCGAAACATTCATCCAGGTTGGAGCAATCTTCTCAAGCTGGGCCTTAGATATTTTGAGGACATCCAAAATAGGATAAAATTGTCATGACAGGTGAGTGTACTGAAATAGTACTTACTAAAAGCCCTGTTCAAGAATTCATCCGATTAACTAGTTAACTTGCCGATTAATCCCTACTCATAGGGTCCGCGAGTAGCCGATTACCCGATAAATCGTCCGATTAATTGATTAAATGGCCGATTAACTTGCCGATTAGCCTATTAATCCCCTATCACCAGCCGACCGAGCAGATACCAGTTAACGATTTCCTCAACAATGACTAAAAGAACAAAGTTTTGGCACATTATGCCATCTTGGCATCTAGTATAGCTGAACCAGTCATGGTAACAGAAGTATAAAGCTTAGCACAGCTAAGTATTCTACTACTAATCTTCTCACAAGAGAAGAGATGTACCTTCTGGATAATCACAGGGGAGTTGCCAATAGGATCAATATTTGAGACAGGACCTTTTTCTTCTGGAAAAAACTTCCTTAGTATCTTCTCATTGTCAGTTGGTTTGATGTAGAAAAAGGGAAATGCGGCAGGTTCTTCACCGTGAGCTAAGTTTGGCAAAGGCTTCACAAAGATATGATCTGGCTCAGCCATAAGTATATAACTGCAAATCGTTTTATTAGGAAACCAATGAACCTAAATGATCCAGTAAAGACAAACAAAGAACAAAAGGAAATATGCTTACTCCTCCTTGATGTTCGCCTTCTGCAACCATTGGACAAATGCCCAGGGTCTATTGAGGACAATGTAACCCTGAACAAAACATCATATTAGCAAAAGCTTCAACTCCACAAATGGTAACAAAATGGAATATCCAAAACCTCACCCTGTCAGCGCCTTCAGGGAGGGGGTCAACAACTAAGGTGGGTATCTCATCCATCAAACCGTCCGGCTTTCCAGAGTGAAGGATCCGCGTGAAGCCGCCCATATCCGAGTCAGGCCTGACTCTCATCTGCTTGTACCAGTAGTACATTATCCGCGACTGCCACTGGCTGTACAGCGCATCCGTCGCCGTAAGGGCGACGTGGAACCTCTTCGACGGGTCCGAACCAGACCCGAAGGCGACGGCACCGCCCTGATCGCCGCCGCCGAGCAATTTGCGTGGCCCGTCTCCGCTTCGGCTGTGGCCCACCATTGTCAGGAAGTTGTAGGTCGCGAAGAAGCAGCCGACCGAGATGAGGATGAGCAAGAAGGGAGAGGCCTTGCCGGCATTCTTCCTCCCGACGATCATCGTCGACGCTCCGATCCAACAAGGGGACAAGGGGGCGGGTTGCGCCTCGGGTCCCGTGGGATCACAGCAAAAGGTGAGCTCACCCAGTGAAGGGAGAGTCGGAGGCCAGGTGGTTCGGCGGCGCCGCCGACGATTGAGGGTTTAGGGGCTCCCGATTCGGCTCGTTCGTGCCGAGGAATCGGATTCGGTGGATCTGAGATCGCGGTCAACCCCCGACACCGCAGAGAGCGCCGGGAGTAGCAGGAGGTGACTACTCACTTCTACTCACGACGAAGGGGGGGAGTGACTCTTCGCCGGCCGCCTCCGCCCAGGATGGTTTCGGCGGCGGCCGCGAAGAGCGCCGACCTCTCTCCGGTAAGGACAAAGGAGTGGTGGTGTAGGCGTAGGGGAAGGAAGAAACGAGAGAAGCTCGTTACGGCGATGTGGTAGTAATAAACGCTGTAACGGGTAAGAGCGCATGTGTAACTAACAGTTATTGTTTTTTTCCTTTAAAATCAGGTGGATAAAATGTTCCATGGTACTTGGACAGTTTGTTTTTTTTTCTTTAAAAAGTTTTTTTACATAATAATAAACTAGAAAAAGTTCGTGTGTTGCAGCAGGTGAAACAAACTCTCGCACACCTCTAACAACCCATCCGTATTGCCACTTCTCTTCACTTCATGAGTCATCCCATGTGAACTTGTAATGATGGTCAACACCAAATTTGGCCGCATCATTGTCATAGGCGCGGGAGGAGCGGCCACCGGTGGAGGCTCAGCGAGGTGGATGAGCAGAGGCGTGAGGCGGCATATGTGAGGTTTTGGGGAGGAGTGTTTCTCATAAGTTTGGCACATATGTCACAAATGTTTTTTAGCCCAAAATAGCACACATATTACTAATCTTGACGAATTTAGAACCGGTGCTTTTGGCAGCTTAAAAAATAAGTTGCTCCTTCTTTAGGTTTTTTTATAAGCCGCCCCTCTTATTCATTGGATCTTTTAAATTAGTTATAGGATAACTAATTTAAAAGTTTCAACATAATTAGAGGGCGGCTTATTTTTTAAACTAAAGAACTAGCCTTATCCAAATTTAGTCTAGAAGAATTTTGTTTTTATTAGCCCACTAACACCGCATGTCATCAAAAAAAATTGTTAGCCTAGATGATTGATTTAATCCAACTTTTATTCAGAAGAGTTCTGTTTTTGTTAGCTCATCACATCGTGTGTCTTTGTTCCTTATAGCATCTACGGCCGGGCGCCCAAACCTACCTCATACATCCGGGCAGATCACCCGGTCACTGGCTGGTCATGGAATTTTGACCGAGACGGGCGCCTCAAACGCCCGGACTGATCGGCACCCCTTGAAAGCACACTTGCTCCCTTGGTGGTTTTGATAATTAATGTCATACATATTGTTGGACTAACACTTTTATCTAGTACATTTCAAATAAGTTCAATAGTGGCATGGCAAGGACATGAAGATGTGGACCCCTTCAAAATCATAAGGACAAGAATTGGCATAGCTACAAGACTCTACCCTTTTCGTTAAGTGGTCCAAGATCACATTGAGTCCATAGAAAAAGTCAATACTATTAAAAGGGATGAGGTTTTGATCATGACTCAATTGCTAAAATGCTTAGTGATATTACTCCACGAATCCTCAAACACTTCTCCACATTTCATTTATCCAAACCCCTAAATGTCCATCTCGGTCCCACCGATATCTTCCCGTCCATACCCACCGAGATGAGCCCATACACTGCTACATGTCAAATCCTAACTTTTCGGTACAACCGATATGAGTCTCGGTCTCACCGAGATGGCGTAACCAAGTTTCTATGATGAAGTTGCTTCATTTCGGAATTACCGAGATGAAACAATCGAAACTACTGAAACGAGGTCTTGCCCTAGCCATTGCACTTCGGTCACAACGAGGTGTACTGTTCATTCTCACCAAAACCTCCAACATTTGAATCTTTTGCACTAGTCGGTCTCACCGAGAATTCTATCTGGTGTCACCGAGTTGGGTTAAAGACTTGTAATGGTTGGATCTTGGGTGTGGGCTATATATACCCCTCCACACCCACTTATTCTCTAAGAGAGCCATCAGAATGAACCACAAATCTTACTACTCATTTTCTGAGAGAGAACCACCTACTCATGTGTTGAGATCAAGAGATTCCATTCCTACCATTTCAACCTTGATTTCTAGCCTTCCCCAAGTTGCTTTACATTCAATCCCCTTTCCACCAAAGCCAAATCTATGAGAGAGTGATCGAGTGTTGGGGAGTTTATCATTTGAAGCACAAGAGCAAGGAGTTCATCATCAACAACACTGTCTATTATCTTTTGGAGAGTGGTGTCTCCTAAATTGGTTAGGTGTCACTTGGGATCCTCCAAGATTGTGGAGTTGAACCAAGAAGTTCGTAAGGGCAAGTAGATCGCCTATTTCATGAAGATCTACTCGAGTGAGACTAGTCCTTTGTAGACGTAAGCTATGATGGTATAGGCAAGGTTGCTTCTTCGTGGACCCTTCGTTGGTGGAGCCCTCCGTGGACTCGCGCAACCGTTACCCTCCGTGGGTTGAAGTCTCCATCAACATGAGTGTATGATACTACCACCTATCGGAACCACGCCAAAAATCACCATGTCTTCATTGCGTTTGAATTTCCATCTCTACCCCTTACTTTCACACTATTGCATGCTTTACTATTTTCGCTGCCCTATGTTTAGAAATGCATGTGTAGGAAGTTGTGACGCCCCCGATTCAATCGTACACTAATCATGCACGCAAATGTGTACGATCAAGATCAGGGACTCACGGGAAGATATCACAACACAACTCTAAAACATAAATAAGTCATACAAGCATCATAATACAAGCCAGGGGCCTCAAGGGCTCGAATACAAGTGCTCGATCATAGACGAGTCAGCGGAAGCAACAATATCTGAGTACAGACATAAGTTAAACAAGTTTGCCTTAAGAAGGCTAGCACAAACTGGGATACAGATCGAAAGAGGCGCGGGCCTCCTGCCTGGGATCCTCCTAAACTACTCCTGGTCGTCGTCAGCGGGCTGCACGTAGTAGTAGGCACCTCCGGGGTAGTAGTCGTCATCGACGGTGGCGTCTGGCTCCTGAACTCCAGCATCTGGTTGCGATAACCAGGAAGAAAGGAAAGGGGAAAAAGGGGGGAGAAAGCAACCGTGAGTACTCATCCAAAGTACTCGCAAGCAAGGAACTACACTACATATGCATGGGTATATGTGTAAGGAGGTCATCTCAGTGGACTGAACTGCAGAATGCCAGAATAAGAGGGGGATAGCTAATCCTGTCGAAGACTACGCTTCTGGCAGCCTCCGTCTTGCAGCATGTAGAAGAGAGTAGATTGAAGTCCTCCAAGTAGCATCTCCAAGTAGCATATCCAGGTAGCATCTCCAAGCGCATCTCCAGTCGCATCGCATAGCATAATCCTACCCGGTGATCCTCTCCTCGTCGCCCTGTAGAAAAGCGATCACCGGGTTGTCTGTGGAACTTGGAAGGGTGTGTTTTATTAAGTATCCGGTTCTAGTTGTCATAAGGTCAAGGTACAACTCCAAGTCGTCCTGTTACCGAAGATCACGGCTATTCGAATAGATTAACTTCCCTGCAGGGGTGCACCACATAGCCCAACATGCTCGATCCCATTTGGCCGGACACACTTTTCTGGGTCATGCCCGGCCTCGGAAGATCAACACGTCGCAGCCCCACCTAGGCACAACAGAGAGGCCAGCACGCCGGTCTAAACCTAAGCGCACAGGGGTCTGGGCCCATCGCCCATAGCACACCTGCACGTTGCGAGGGCGGCCGAAAGCAGACCTAGCCTAGTGGCGTTCCAGTCCAATTCGGCGCGCGCCGCTCCGTCGCTGACGTCTGAAGTGCTTCGGCTGATACCACGACGTCGGGATACCCATAACTACTCCCACGTAGATGGTTAGTGCATATAGGCTCGTAGCCGACTCAGATCAAATACCAAGATCTCGTTAAGCGTGTTAAGTATCCGCGAACGCCGAACAGGGCCAGGCCCACCTGTCTCCTAGGTGGTCTCAACCTGCCCTATCGCTCCGCCACAAAGTAACCGTTGGGGACCATCGGGAACCCAGGCCCACCTCTACCGGGATGGAACCACCTGCCCCTTCAGCCCCCAACTCCGAACAGCATCACAGGTAATGTAACAGTGTATAGTATATAGTATATGCCCGTGATCACCTCCCGAAGTGATCACAGCCCAGTAGTATAGCATGGCAGACGGACAAGAGTGTAGGGCCACTGATGGAACACTAGCATCCTATACTAAGCATTTAGGATTGCGGGTAAGGTATCAATGACGGTAGAAACAATGACAGGCTATGCATCAGAATAGGATTAACGAAAAGCAGTAACATGCTACACTACTCTAATGCAAGCAGTATAGAGGAGAATAGGCGATATCTGGTGATCAAGGGGGGGGGGCTTGCCTGGTTGCTCTAGCAAGAGAGAGGGGTCGTCAACTCCGTAGTCGAACTGGGCAGCAGCAGCGTCGGTCTCGTAGTCTACCGGAGAGAAGAGGGGGAAGAAATAATGAATACAGAGCAAACAAAGCATCACAAAATATAACAAGGCAATACGCGGTGTTCGGTGTGCCCTAACGCGGTAGTAGGTGATACCGGTGAAGGGGGGAAAACATCCGGGAAAGTATTCCCGGTGTTTCGTGTTTTCGGGCAGAGGAGCCGGAGGGGGAAAGTTGCGGGTTCGATAGGTTAGAGGGGTGTGGCGGACGAACAGACTGCGTATCCGGAATCGTCTCGACGTTCTGAGCAACTTTCATGTTGAAAACATTTTAATCCGAGTTACGGATTAAAAGATATGATTTTCTAAAGATTTTATTAATTTCTGAAATTTATTTATTTATTTAATTAATTCGAAAAAATGTATTAATGACGTCAGCATGATGTCATGCTGACGTCAGCAGTCAACAGGGGTTGACTGAGTCAACCCTGACATGT